GGGAAAGAGAGACTGACTCAACGCCTCAGCCCTAGCCCCACCATCCCAAAGTCATAAAGACATCTCAGCCACATAAGAACCCAACCCCGACCGCACGCACCAAGCCCTGCCTCCCTACATTAACCCGCAGCCACAGAGCTCCACCAATTTTCGGAGAGAACAGAGAAAGCACATAGCACCACCAGTCGCAGGCAAAAGAGAACCGAGACATGAACGACAAGAAGAAGAAACTCGCCCTCAATCGAGTCCATCAGTCCTAAATTCCGACCAGGCTTCAATCAAAAGCTCACCGCCTACAATCACCATTCCACCGGCGAAAAGGATTTTTATCTCTTGTCCCTTGTTTACACTGCGCTACATCACACATTAACACACACTAACATTTTTCTATGTTTACTAAAAGAAAGATGTAAGGATTGTAAAATAACCTAGAATATTGTATGTGTTTTTAGATATTTTTTTAATAATGTCATATAAATTGTAGTTGTTTTTAAAAATAGTATAGATAATTTAAAGTGTTTTCTAAAACTAGCATATAAAATTGTAGGGGGTTTTCATAATTTGTGTAGATAATTCGAATTGTTTTGAACATGTTTTTGAAAAATGTCATACATTTTAGTATTTTTATTTATCTTTCATGACCTCTCAATTTTCATGATGATGGCAGTCTTATTTTTAATGACGATGGTAGTCTTATTTTAAATTTAAACTAATGTACGATTGTTGTAAATATTTTTCGTAACAGAATCGAAAGATTCAAACACCGGACCGTGTCTCACGAGAAAGGTTAGCCAAAATATTCTGTACGTTTATTCAAGCACAAAAGGAGAAAATAAAATTCCTAGACATTCTAAATCAAAAGATTGGTTTGAGTTTAATTATGAACTAATACAGAAATTCAAATAAGAAATAAAAATAGCGAGCGAATGAGGAAGAACAAGTAAGATTTAAGGAGCTAGGGAGTCGGGGATATCCGTTTTGGTTCGAAAATGCGATTTATGGGCAAGTGATTGTTCGGTTAAGTGATTTCACTATCCTATCGTTCAGGTTTTCATTTTCATTAACTTTTCGTAACAAGAGAATAAGCTTGAACGACAAATTAGCAATTCAATTAATGCCTAGGCAATACAGTTACGAACAAGCCTAGTTCATACGAGCCTATTTCGACCGACTCTTCCCCTTTCGGTTCTAAGAGTCGATTAAATTAGACTAGGAGTTGGTTAATCAAATAGTCCGTTTAAAGTTTTCAAAATCGTGCACGAATTAGACGAATTCAATTAAAATAATTGGACATTGGAGTGTCACCCTTCAACAATTCACAAAACTCAAGCTTGGAAATCGAAAAAAACCTAGAATAAGAGTAGCTCGTACAAATTGAACAATCTCAAGCCCGACAATCACAAACGAAATCAAAACATCATCCCCTATTCCCTAGCTTAATGATTTAGCTACTCATATTTGATTCAACACAATCAATTTCATAAATCAAGACAAGCATATTCATAATTAAAGGAATAGAAAGTCTTATGATTCACCGAAATTGTAAGTCGAGTACGATAAACAAGATTAATCTACGAGGATACGACCAAATTCGAGTCCAAATCTGAGTTCTCCATTCGAAATTATCCAAAAGAAAAGTGAAAAGAACAGTTTCTCAAACTAAGGAACGATATATATATAAAACCTAGGGTAGAACGTCTCTATCGCGAGTTCACAGAATCAGATTTTAAAAATCTGCTACGCACAACTCGCGGCCGCGGAGAGGCCCGCGGGCCGCGGCGAAGATCGGCTCTGCGGCCGCTAATCATCCCGAGGCCGCGGGTTTTCTTTTCTGAAGTCAGGGGCTTGCTGCCTGCTGGGAGGTTTGGTCACCGCGGCCGCGGTGAAAGAGATGTCACGGCCGCGGGAGGAGAAAGTTGGGCGCGACGGGGAGAGGGTAACAGGTGAGCGCCGCGGCGTGGCAGACTAGCCACGGCGCGACGGAAAGCTTCTTCATGGCGTGGTGATGGTGACACGGCGTGGCGGAGGGAGAGCCTGCAGGCGTCGCAGCGGCGTGAAAGTCCCGGCACGGCATGAAGGCTGCAACTGCCGCTGCGGCAGAGGTTCGCGGCGTGATGAGCAGCGGTGTCGCGGCGTGTTGGTGGTGGCGTGGCGCGACGCATAGATCTGCCACGGCGTGATGGGATGCCACGGCGTGGTGAGGAGTGGAGCAGCGCCGTGGAGATAGAAGCTTGCGCTCCGTGGAGGAGGCTGCTGCCACGCGATGGAGAAAGGTCTGCCGTCGACGT